TACCTGACGTTCAACCCCTGTTCCTGTGACTGCCCCTCGAAACCCCCGTCCCCCGACTCCCGTTCAGCTTTCTGACGGGATCTCAGGCAACGGAGGCCTCTGTGAAGGGTTTCGTGGTCACAGCACAAGCCCTGGGCTGAAGACCCACTGCTAGGGGAAGGTGCAAGCAATTCCTTCAGGACCTAGACGTGCATCTACTGTCCACTGCTTATCATGATAGAAAATCCTCACGTGGGGCAGAGCCCCAAACCTGGGGAGTTTTCTATCTTCACTGTGAAACTGATGGAAAAGGGTTAAAATTGTGTTCCCTGGTAAGAGTAGTGAAAGGAGTCAACTTCCCAGAGGAAGATGCAGGGGACATGAGAGTGGGGGAAGAGACGCTTCCCACCCCCCCCGCCAAGGTTTCCTGATTGGGAAAAGATTGGGGATTCGTTTATCTGGTATGCAGGAATGCAGGAGCAATGCGCCAGACCTGTGGCAAATGGGGTGAAAAAATGACCGGCAGCCTGTGGCATCCCAACTGCAGAGCTCGGGGCACCTCATCTGGCCTTGTTCCCCCTCCTTGCCAGATGCCCGCCTTGCGCTACGAACCCAGTCTAAGCACAGCGACCCCACGCCCATCCTCTCCCACCAAAGACAGGCCTGCCACAGGGGCATTAAGCACAAGCCTTAAAAGCAGCCCCCCCCAGTCCTCCTATGGAGAAAACAGACGGCCAACTGCCCCCCTTCCATCCAGAAGCGCAACCCTCCTGCCCCCACGGGATCCACAAGAGGTTAAGCCGGGGGGTTGAACTTAAGCTGCATCCACGCGTGGCATCACAAGAGAGGAAAGGAGCCCGTCAGCTGAAGGTGGAGGAGGGTGCAAAGGCTTTCCTGGCGGTGGCCTTTAGAGCAAGCCCTGCTTTGCCAACGCTGACCTCAAAATGACACCCATCAAGGCAGAATTTGAGCACATCTCATCCCCTCCCTGCAAAAAGCTCTCCCCGGCACGGACTCCTTCCCGCATATCCAGGGCTGGACCCGATAAGAGGGTCTGGGAGACCAGGTGGACACGGATGCGCCTCTCAGGGCTGGACCTGCCTGTTCTTCGGAGAGGGGCGTCAGCTGGGGGCACCTTGGATCCAGCCCCCAGACTCCCACCCTGTCGCAGCTGTGACATCCCAGGCCCCCAACCTGCTGGGGGTCCCTCCTGGATGCATTCAGCCAGAGGACCCCCAACACGGCAAGATCGAGGACGCGCCCTGTCCACCTGCCTGCCTTCCCAGACGAAACACGCCCTGCGCCTTTAGGTGGGCAAAGGGGCTCCTGAGAATACCTCATGCCACACCTCACTCGATTGTCAGACAACCCCCGAAACCTGCAGTTGCTCCCTGCAACCCGTTCTGCTCAAAAAACAACCCAGTCACGTACACAAGGAAGGACATGGCTGTTCTGGACGCCTGGGTCAGCCAATTCCCTCTTGCTCTCTGCCCCGCCTGCCGGGTGCCGGGCCCCTCAAGGAAAAGGGCCTGGGCTGACCATCACTCTTTGCTCCCCCCAACTGGGGCCAGCCCAGCCGGAGCGAAGCGGACGGTCCCACCGGCGTCCGTCTTGAGCGGCGCAGCCCCAGCATCAACTTTCACCTGCTTTCCTCCCCCCACGACCTTCTCTGCCTCCCCCACACTTATCCACGGCCTCAGCCAGCCCCACCCCTCCGCTCCCAACACAGGGCCCCCGGACACTGTTCATTAGGACACGATGTCCGGGACCAAACCCAACTCCCACCCGCCCCCGTCACGAGCAGGCCCTCTCCAAGGTCTCACCTGGGGTCTTCAAAAGCAGCCTCTTCCTCTCACCCCTCCCCCTTTTTTCCGTATTGGAAACTTGTGCCCCCCCATTAAGAACCACTTGCAAAATTAAATTAAAAGAGCCAATTTCCTGTTAATTGTTGCTCATGTCCATCTCAGCTGCTCTTTGGAGATTTGAATGGAAAAGCATAAAATACCCTGAGTGAAATGAAGACACAGCAGAGTCTCGTTTAACCGACCTTCGCTTATCCGACCTTCCGTCTTATCCGACGCCCCTAAAAAACACAGCAACACGCATAAATTGGCGACGAGAAAAGTGCGCCGCTTGTTTGCGAGCGTGAGTGTACCCTTTCTTGTTGCTCCTGACGGTGCGGCGCCGCAACGCAAAAATCGATTGCAACAGGCGCAGCGGATCGGTTTTTGTTTTGTTTCTTTACCGCACTCAATCATTACTGTGTGTTATCCGACATTTTCGCTTATCCGACGTTCTGCCGGCCCGTTTAGGTCGGATAAGCGAGACCCTACTGCAATACTATTTACTTGCTGCCATCTGAAGGAGCTGAAGCGTTTATTTCGTGTGTTTTTTTTATATAGAATTCTGGTGAATGTTCCGAATTCTCACCCAAAGCTTTGGAAAAAGTTTCTCTGCACACGCAAAGAGGAACCTTTCCAATGCAAGAACCCCCCTTTTCAGCCAGATCGTAGGACTGGCAGCTCCTCTGAGAAGTGACAGCTCGGAAGGCAGCCGCCTTGCGCTCAGGAGGCCCTAGAACCGCAGCCTAAAATCCACACAAGGTCAGGCCTGGATCAGATTCTAATTATGCACGCACAATATTTGATGAAGTGTTCAACTGAGCCTGGCAAGGGCTGCACGTTTACATTTACACCCTAGAACAGTGTTTCTCAACCTTGGCAACCTCAAGAGGGGTGGACTTCAACTCCCAGAATTCCCAGGGTGCGGAATTCTGGGAGATGAGGTCCACCCCTCTTAAAGTTGCCAAGGTTGAGAAACAGTGACTTAGATCTTACAGATGCCAGCACGGCAGCTTCTGAAATCTGACCAACCACTAGAGGGCAGCAAATAGTTAGGATTGTGAATTTAGCTTTGCTGCTGGGCTTCCACTTGCTTAGCTGGGTGATGGGAGGTCTGCAGGGGGGAAAAAAACTGAGAACAGGGAGACCCCAACCATTCAACCCTGAGCTACATAGTTCCTCTACTGCTGGAATAGTGTTGCTTTCTTTTGTGGATTTTGTCTGGATTTGGCAGGTCGGACCGGATGGCCTGAGCTGCGATGGAACTTCCATGTCCAAAGGCAGCGTGCTGCGACCTTACCTATTGGGGCAGGGAGGGGGAACAAACAGGGCAGGAACATTTGGCTCCAGAGGCATCTAGCAGGTGCTAGACACAGAAATGCCTAGTGCTCCCTTGATCTGATCTGGTTTCAGCAGAGCCTCCTTTTGCCAAGAGTTTATATCTGACTGTCCCTTGATGGGAGACCCAGAGAAGTAAGGGGAGGAGAGGTATAATCCCAGCCATTAGCCACGATGCCTCGCCATGGAGTTGGCTTTCGCGAGGGCTGGGGGGGCACCAACTTGAATCAGCTTGAACTGGAACTGAGCTGAAGGGGGCCTGGAGGGTCAGGGGAACTAGGTGTCCGTCTCGGAAGGAGAAAGGCCCTCTAAGCTCAGCGGCCGGAGCAGGAGAGAATCAATCCCCGTTAAAAAAAAAAAGGGTTAACTCTGACTGGACTGTTCGCTGTATTCTTTTCATCCCTACAAAGCGTTATGGCCGATTCTCACAATACATTACACCCTAAACCTGGGTTATCAAGCGTTAATTGCTGCATTCACCTAGCATGCAACGCCCAAATAATAAACCTTGTTATGGCTTACGCTGATGGTTTGGTTCACACACAGACAGCTGGAGGAAGAACAACGGTGCCCCACCGCAGAGACCCAAACAGCCCAATCTCGTTTTCAGCCAGGACGGGCGCGTGGTGCAAACGAGGCCGCACAGCTGGAGCCAAGTTGCACGGCAAGAAAACAGCAGGAGCGGGAAGCGAAGTCTTCAGAGTGAGGAAGGAGGAAAAGGAATACAGATTAGGGTTTGGGTGGGATGCGGGGGGGGGAGGGGAACGGCAGGGAGGGGTTCCACTGGGAAGGGGCACTAAGAGCGATTGCGTCATTTAAACAATGAAAGGGGAGAACATAATCTGCTTTGGGAGCCCTTGTGCCAAAACCGCCAGAACCCGGAGCAGGCTCAGCCCGTCCCGCTCGGGGTACAGGGCTGAATCGCCCCCCACTGGAGGGCCAGTTTCAATGTGACACTCCCACGCGCGCCCCAGGGAGGTCTCCCTCCCCGCCCCTGCCCAGCCTCTCCGGTCTGCCCAGATAAGGAGTTTGTCTTGCTCTGCTCACTGCCGGCAGCTTCCCTTGCAACACTGGGGGGCTTTTAAACCAGAAGCCCTTTGGCGCAGTCCTCCCTGGGTCTCCTTCAGCCCCCTTCCTTTGCAGCAGAGAGAAGACGTCCAGGCCGGGCATCTGGTCTGCAAAGGATGTGGGCAGCCAGCTGGTTACGGGGCAATTCACTTTCTGGGGTTGAGGAACAGCTTTAACCGTCAGCTAAGTGAACAGCTGGGCTTCACACCACATGCTAAGCTGGGAAAAACTTAATTAACGGACCTGTCCTGCTGTGCGAAAACCTGGTTAAACGCCCTGCACGAACGCAGCCCTAATCTTCCGACCGCCCGCGAAAGGGACGCGAACAGAGGCCAACCTCTGCAAAGGGAAGGCGACAGCCCCAAAGGGCAGCAGCAGCAGCAGCGATCAGAATGTCGAGGCCAAAAGCTACGTGTGAATCAGCAGCATGACGAGGTTGCAAAAAAGCCAAATGCAGTTTTAATGTTTGCAGCGCCTCCTTATTCACCCTCATCTGGAACACCGTGTTTAATATTCAGTGCAGTGCTATGGAAAGGGGGGAGGCCAGCTTCGTTGGATCAGAAAAGGTGGCTGAGGCATGCAAAGCCGGTTGCCCAAGGGGAAATGGAGAGGAGACGGGCACAGACGGGCTGGATGGGGGGGTTGGGGCCAGGAGGACAAGCCCCTCCATACTCCAGGGAGGACTGAAGCTGAGGAGGAGCATCTGAGAGAGAGGCTGGAGTCTGGGCCGTCCTTCAGCGCCAGCGTGTGCGTGGGGC